TAATTAGGTAAGTTCAGGCCCGTTTGTTATCGTAGTTCGGGCTAACTGTTGCTGATTTTGCTTAAAATTACGTGTTAAATAAATTTATTTATTTTTAAGGTGACGTGAGAAATTAATGCGAAAGATTTGTAAAAGGAAAATCCATATTAAATTAAATTAATGTCATTTTGTACTGACTGAAAAACATTTAAAATCTGTGTTTTGTTTTGCAGGGACTTAATCGTGATATGGATTAAAATGAGGACGAAAGTGTCAGGAAGATAAAACTTATGAACTAAAGCAGAAAAAAAACCCCTAAACGATGCAAGAAAAATAGGAAAAAAAAAACCCGAAAACAATGCAGAAAAATGGAAAAAACACCAACAGTACTCAAACAACCCTAAATGCATCCAAAGCTACTGAAATAACCTGAAATTTGGCATGTATACTCAATATTTTCCAATCCACAGTAAATGAAAAGGGAAAATTCATCAACCCACACATTCAAAATTCACAGATCTGCAACTAAAACCAACAAGCATACACGTAGAAGGAGCTTTCTGGTCGTCATGCTTCCGGGTACACCATTTTGGAGTAGTCCCGAAGGCAAAAACCCAAAGGCGCCCCTTATTTGCTCGGATCTGGAAGTTACCTAGCTAGGTGAGCCAAAAACGTCGCTGGAATCTCCTCGGGAATTCGCTATTCTCGCCCTCCTCTACTCCTCCTAAAAACCCAGAAGAAAATTCCGAATAATTGCTGTTCTCTCTCTGAATCCCCCGATTTATAGGCCTAGGGAAAAATAAAACAAATCAAGACTCTAAAATTCTACCCACCCTCGGATCTCTCTCTCTCTTCTTTCCCACCGTAGATCACAACAATTCGGATTTGACCATCCTCCTTTGTCCGACAGAACCTAGTGTTTGCAGGTGAAAGCAAAGGACGGAAGTCTCAGTCTGTCTTACGCGAGGACGCCTGATGAGTGGGGGCCATCTGGTCGAAATTTGGACGGACGGCGAAAGAAGGGAAAAGCTGAAAGTGGGGGGGCCATCCTCGCTTTTTTCTTCTTTTTTTATTCGGTCCCACCACTATAAGAATAAAACGGCGCCGTTTAAACTGCTCAGCTCTTTAGTCCTTAACTTTTTTCCACTTGCCACTTCAGTCCTCTCATTTAGACCACATTGCAATTGGGTCCCTACGAAACACAGCTTGTTTTTAAATGTTTCCAATTGAGTACAAAATGACATTAATTTGATTTGATCTCCATTTGTTTTTAAACAAATTTTCCGAGTTAATTTCGCACACCAAGTCAAAGCTCAAATATTTAAATTTTCATTTAAAACATAAGAATTTATGGGAAATTAATATTAAAAAAAATATTAACAGAGCTAGAAAAAATTGGTTATGATAGGTCATATATACATATTTTTAGCCTCTAAATTTTTAAATTGAGAGATTAAAAATGTACATATTAAAACAAATTTAACAGATTAATTAACAGAATAACTAAAAAAATATAATTTTTTAATCAAAATTACTAATACTATACCAACATGCATACTGATTTTATTATTAAAACGTACATATCAAATATCAAAATGTTTAGTGTACCAATTTAGATTTATTGTTATAAATATATATTTTTGTATAAACTAAATACATAACTATGAAATAATATTTGATGAGTATAAAAAAATTTAATACTTAAAAAATTAATTTTTTAGAAATTAAAAACATATTCAACATGACAAAATTCATGAACTATTAATATTATAATATTAAAGAAAAATAATATATTAACATATTCTGCATTTATTTATAAAGATTCATATATTTATTTGAATCTAAACCCAATACAACTAGAAAAATTAAATATTTTTTTAGATTTATAATGTATTTTTTCAAATTTAAA